GTCACTGAAATGTATGTGCCATTCAGTCGACTGAATGGTAAATGAATGATCACGGAAAGTCACGAGAAAGGGTCTTTTCAGTGACCTCTCAGTGAGCATTATGTGGTCATTCGGTTACCATTCAGTCGACTGAATGGTGGATTTTCATCCCGTGTAAATTCTGCTTCATATGAATATAAAAATAAGTATGCTAATAACGGAGCGCAATCTGTACACATGGGAATTCCAATGGATTGTTGGAATACCTATTCTCCAAAAAATACATAGATGTTGTCAATCAGAAACTCAAGCATCTTCTTGATGTCAACTTCAGAGTACTTATGTGTGCAATCAGAATCTGTTTTAACAAAATAATTTTGCAAATGACCAATGACGAGGTAAGTGAATTTACGAGTTCCATTTTTATTGAAGAAGTATCTATCAATAATATCAAAAAGCCTGGATTTTAATTAGTTTTTAAGCTTTTGATTTTTTAAAAGTCTTGCGATTTCCAAGTGTCCAAAAGTTCTTTATAATTTTATAGTATCCACATCTGATCGATGCCTCCTTCACGTGCTTTATAGAATTGTTCTCATCCAGTTAGCTAGCTTTCATCACTTTCATCTCATGTCCCATCTTTGCCCTTCCCAGCACTATTTAAGTAAATAACGACCTGTTGACCGTCTGCCCCTTTAGTTTACACAAGGTACAAAAAAATCCAGCACTGTTTTACTTTCTTGTTGTATAGTTGATTCTTTGCATTAAAAACTCCCGTGATTTTGTTTATATCTATAAACCGTTTATGTCCACCGCCTAAAAATTCTAAACGGGAGATCACTCTCAATGACTGTTTAATAAGAAAAAGAAACATATGTTTGAAAGCTTTTTTTTCTCCGGAAACCCTGCCTTGCCAATGACCTTCATTAACAGCGAATTAAAGTTGAACTTGATTTCCTTTTCTTGGGTATTTTAATGTATTAGAAATCACGAACAACGACTGATCAGTCTTTAATTTACAACAGTTAGAGAGAGAGAGAGAGAGAGAGAGAGAGACTGTAAACCAACTTTTATTCGCGGCGACTTTTTTTGCGATTCACGGGGGGTAAACTTGTTTGCGATGATTGATTTTCGCGATCAAGCCTTTTGAAAAAAAAAAAAAAAACAACTTGTGCATAAAAAAAATCAAGGTCCACGCCCGTGTTGTTTTCTACACTTGTACGATAGTGAGCTGTTCTTAAGCATTATTTGCAGGCACCAGACCGTGAAACTCAGGGGTACCTAGCTATTGAAGTTTGGTCAATTTACCTAAGAGTTTTAATGAGATACGTTGTTTTATACTGGAGATACGTCTACATGTGTGACTGTTTTAAAAATTATTTTATAAATAATGTCTTTACGAAAGTATTTAATTCCAAAACGTGTAAATAATGGACCCTGTTTATCAACAGAAATTTCTACTTTTTTGCCTGATCCCGCCCTGGAAACCACTCCGGAAAAAACACAGCGTGTACAGGTTGCTAATGAACGGGTGATGGAGACCATCGAGAATACCCGAAATCGTAAACAGGGCAACTATAGTCATTATACTCCGGAAAATAGAGCCAAGATCGCTAAAGGGGCATGTGAATACGGAAATACGAGTGCTGCTAAACGTTATTCTAAAGAACTTCAGGTTGAAATTAATGAATCGACTGTTAGATCAATAAAAAAACAGTATCTAAGGGAAATACGGAATTCCGAAGATGGTATTTGTACTTCTCTTCCTCTAGCGTCACGGGGAAGACCCCCAGTCTTGGGGAAGTATGACGATGAAGTCATTGACTATATCAAAAACTTAAGCAACGCTGGGTCAGTAGTTAATAGACATATTTTATTTTCAGGGGCTAAAGGAATAGTTCAGTTTTATGACCGCTCCTTACTGTCAGAAAATGGAGGACCCATTGCATTGGATCGATCCTGGGCGGAATCATTTTTGAGACGACTGGGTTTTGTGAAACGAAAAGGGACAAAGGCAGCTAGAAAACTTCCCCTGGATTTCGAGAACCAGAAGTTTGAGTTTGTTTCATCTGTAAAGAAAATTAGATTGGAACATAACATTCCAGAAGAACTTGTCCTAAACTTTGATCAAACGAACGTGTCAATAATCCCCTGCGGGAATTGGACGATGCACAGTGTCGGTAGGTGTGATTAACTAATTATACACCATTATGACCTATTATAATAAAACTTTCAAACAGTTGTTTTAACCATGTGAACTGATGAGAAATCATTTTAGAATTTATACACTATATAATTTACATAAAAATTCAAAGATTTATTTCGTTCTTTGTGGGACCTGCAAGTATTTGAAATTAAATGAGTTTTTTTCATTTCACAGGTGATAAGCAAGTGGAGACCGTCGGACTTGAGGACAAGAGACAGATTACCGCTCTTATCACATGCTTGATGTCTGGAAAAATTCTTCCGCCTCACATGTTGTATCAGGGTAAAACACCACAATGTACTCCGACATCTGTTCGTTTTCCATAGGGATGGGATATTCATTTTTCTGAGAACCTTTGGTCAAACGAAGAAACCATATGTCGATTAGGTGACACAATTCTTCTGCCCTTCATCAACAAGATGCGCGATTTTCTTGATTTACCCTTAAAACAACCTGCCTTATGCATGTGATGTGTTTGCTGCACACAGAACAGAATTATTTTTTTAAAAAGTAAAGAAACACGGCATTATTGTGAAATTTATACGGGGAGGATGTACTGGTGAATTGCAACCGCTTGATCTTTCGGGAAATTCCCAGTTCAAAGACTTTGTAAAAAACGATTTGTGTCCTGGTATGATACAGAAATAAAAAAAAGTACTGAAAGCGGGAACAAAGATCGATGATATCGAAGTTGATTTTAAACTCTCTTCGGTGAAAGTTCCCCATGCAAACTGGGTCATTGATGCGCTCACAGAATTTGAGAGTCAGCGAGACGTAATCAGAAATGGGTGGTATAGATCGGGCATGTTGAGTGATTAACAGATTAATGCATTCTGATCCTATACTTCTGTGAACACATTAAACGAGAGATGTCTAACTTTCGTACGAATGTTTTAAGATGCCTTATGCTTTTATTCACTGTGTACACATTCCTTATATTTACATGTAATTCTGTCATGCTTAATGAAGGTTTTATTTATCTTGACAATTTTAAAGTTTGCATGAATAGTATAGTATGCTGCTTTTTAACTAGTAGTAAAATTTTAAAATGTTTAAAATGAAATAAATATTCTTGTTTTTTTTTTTAAGTTTATTTTTTTTTATGTTTGAAAACACGATCAGGTTCGGTAAAGAAAAAAGTGCAGTAACCCAATTTACAAAACAGTATGACTAAAAGTTTAATTTGTTGCTTGTAACATTGAAAATTTCTGGACCAATGAGACTAATTCAATGCCCCGAAAAGAATACATATCTTATATAAATCAATCCGTGAATTGTTAATATTCTGGATATATTTAAAAAAAAAAACTACGTGCTGTTTAATGATGATATTTACTGCTAGCCACATTGATGGAAAAAAAAATTACACATAGACTTTAAGTACCGGTTCGCGGCGAAAAATATTCCCGACGACGAGGCTCTCGCAAACTTCACGAAAATTTCTCGCTCGCGAATCAAAGTTGGAAAATTTTTCGCTCGCGAATAAAAGTTGGTTTACAGTAGATGGATGGATGGATGGATGGATAGATAGAGAGAGAGAGAGAGAGAGAGAGAGAGAGAGAGAGAGAGAGAGAGAGAGAGAGAGAGAGAGAGGGAAGGGAGAAAGATACAATCAATTTATGATTACTTTATTTATAGTTTGTAATTGTTACACACACTTTCCAATGGTTTAACTTTGCAAAAGGAAAAGGTCGGAGAGGTTTCGATGCAGCCAAGAGGGCGTTTAAATTCATCCTGATATTGATCCTCAAATCCAAAATCTATTTCAAAGACACACATTTCTTCTTTATGGGTAAGACTGTGAAAGAAAAGAAAGTGAAATGATTCAAATTGTTCGAATTATCCTACTACGCAGCACTGTTTAGGCTAGAAAAAGGGGACAGGGTCTAATTTATACTTGAAATGTTTATTGTGACATCACACGAAAAGTTATTCCTCATAAAAGCAAAAATTAAAATAAGTTGCAACTTAAACCTATATTAGCATAATAAACAGAATGAAAACTTATAAATGCATAAAAAATTGCTGGTTAAATCAGAAATACTCCAGTATCAGGTTATAAACAATCACTGATCGCATGGAACCTGTTGACATGACGTCATTTTGATATAAAATGGTGTATTCCATGTGCTATAAGAGGCAGATCAGGTAGTTTTTTTAACAGTAGAGAATGCATTTCAATATTCAACCGAATATTTATTACAGATATTAGATCGGCTATCTATGGACATTCACTAGAACATGTTTAACACCAAAGTGTCAAATTAAATCGACTTTTTGCAAAGATATACACTTAATAGATCTTAACTATTTTTTTTAAATATAGATAAATGATATTTTCATTATCTTGAAAAAGTCATGTTGTTTTTGTAAATCTAGTGTGTTACTTTATAAGAACATAAAGTACTTGGTAAAGGTCAATTATATTTCGACATGAGCCCAATTACCTGAAATTGTAACTAATAAAATGCGAATTCTATTGAATACAGCGAACACTTTCACAAAGTACAAAGTATGCAGAAACAAATGGAAACTTATTTTTTTATTTCAACTTGGGTATGCCATTGACATTTTTTCATGACCTCCATTCCGTACAAGTACTAGGCATTTATAACGTGACTGTCCATCAATTGGACCAAACTTAATTCAGTACAGTGTTTTTTCTCTAATGTTATTTCAATAAGTATATGTATTATTTGATGATAAAGCAGATTTTCAAGAATTAATTTAGCTTTAAAAAAATCCCTTTTATGCACACCTGATTTCGGTTGATTTACATAGTAAGCCTTAACAGTGATGCGTATTTACATTTAAAAAGTAATATATCCGTCGCAGCTTTTTAACAGAATATCTAAAAACAAAATTGTTTTAACGCTGATCAGAATTATAAATAATAAAAATTCTCTTGTATATTTTTCTATGTATTTTTTTATTTTAATGAGGCCCGATCTACTTGATCTGTGCATAAGTTTTAACGCAGCATCGATTCAGGCACGTCACAGTACCCTGGACTGCCGTAAAATTGAATACAATAATGCACAAATAAAATGATGCCAAATTGCACTAAAATGTTTCGGTGATCATGCTCTGTTGACTGTGCTTGTTCAAATCTGGCTCATTCTGGCACTTTTATTACTTACATGCTATTAGAAAAAATATACTTTTTTAAAATTAATAAACAACTTTGAAACATAATTTATTTTGGGGTAACAATTTCTTGGTACAGATTCATTAATTTTACTTTGTTTAATATCAATTAGTGAGCTAGAAAAAATCCCACTGCAACTAAAAGTAAACAATTTAAGTCTTACTCCTCGAACATGTTGAAGTGTTTGTGCTCATTGTTTTTTATTGAGCATAAAGAAAAAATTAAGCTTTAATGTAAAAATTAATTTTTAGAAACTAATACGTATTACAATCGCTTGTTGATGTTATATAAACCTAATGCAACTTAAAAAACAATTAGTTGGATAAAATAAGTCCTATTTTTGTGCTTTAATATGCCTACTTTTCACTGAAATAAAGGCTTCCTCAGATTTTATTTTCATTTTTTAAAACAGGGATGCAAATTGCATGATATATATGAAAATCAAAACATTTCTACTTTTTTTTATTTGTCAATACCTTTGTTTATTTTGGAGTTACAGTATATTATTATATGATTGAATAATTTCCATTTCTCTGATTGGCTGAGATCCGACTATGTTAGAAAAATACTATGTTGTATTGACCTGCACGTGACGTTCTTGGTCAATACAAGGATTTATTTCCTCTACAATGATGTAAAAATAGATCGGGAAATTCCAAATTGATACAAATTGATTTGGAAAGCTATTTAAACTGCTATAACTTTTTTTATGTGAAGAAAACGTAAGCGAATATATATTTTCGGGTGAGGGTGGTAAGAGGGGATGCAGAGACACTCCTCCAACACTTTTACTGAACAACAATTTTTACTTTTTGGCAGTCTGTTTTCCCTGATAATACTCTTTCCTTTAAAAATCTATCCTAGAAAAAAGACTGACATAATTTTTTTTTCATGGCAACAAAAATTGATAGAAAAAAACTTAAAAAAAAATAAATACGACCTGTAAGGTTGATTAACATTTTAATTCTGCATCTCTCTTAATTGTGTTTGGATAGGACTTAGTAAAATGCAAACAAGTAATGGGTTTTATCATTTTATCAGTGAAACATATAATAAAACAATCATTGCTGTTTTTTTTTTCGGTCAATACAATGATTTAGCCATCTTCGAAGTACAATATTCACCTCGCCCTCCGGGCTCGGTGAATATTGTACTCCTCAGATGGCTAAATCATTGTGTTGAACTCAAAACACAGTAATAATTGTATATTATTGTGTATAAAAGCAAACAAATGTTCCATATCTTGAAAGTGCCCAAAGTTGACTACTATAAAATTAAGGTAACAAAATTTCATTCTAATATTTCTTAGCATAATACATACAAATTTATTTCCAGAATCAATTTTTTTTATCATTCCGTTTTCGTAATGTCCAACTAGATTAGGCCTCGTTAAGCAAAATCGTTATATGCTTTTGCAATTTTTTCCGAGAAATAACACATCATATTTCATTAATATTCCTTGGAGAGATGTTTATTTCAACAGATCATTGTGTTGTTATTCTTTTTTGAGAATGCATACTTTTATCAATTACCTATATTGAATAGCAGCAATACCCCGAGGAATTTCATCTAACGCTTGATAAGTATACTTACCCAAATTTTACAGGGGTGTCATTTTCATTGATGTAGAGGCATCTTGAAGCCTATAACAGGGACATGTTTTATTGATACAGTAATAACAAATTGAATTCGTCATAAACAACGCAGATTTAAACGTGTTAAAGTTTTCAATATTCAATTCAAATTTAGGAATACAAAACATTGTAAAAAAAGAGATCCATTTGATGCTTAAGCAAAATTGAAAAAGTGGTTGATTTGATGTGATAACATACAATTACGTCTCCCGGTTCAATTCTTACAGGGCCTCCTGGGATTTCGGTCCAATCCTTTAAAGAAAAAATCAAAAAAGGAGTCTTTATTTCATCTTGCACTCAAATCAGGACAATTTAATTTGGTTATATAATATATACATATCTAAAGCGAAATAGAAAAAGAATTAAAAAAACTAAATATAGGTTAATTTGGTAATTACCTGCAATCGATGTTTTGTAAGTTCACTTCCCAAGAGCCTCCAGGTACCGTTCCGAATTAAGTATCCCTCGGCCATTACAGCTTTTTAAGCCAAAAAACAAAATTATTACAAAGTTGAAGCATACTTTTATGGAAGCACATTTAGGAACTATCAAAAAAAATTATGAATTCGATATAACGATTTGTCGAATTTGTTATAACTAATATAATTCGTTATAACAATTTCTTTGAATTTGTTGTAATGAATTTAATCTGTTATAACAAATTTTTAGATTTCGTTATAACGAATTCAAAAATTTGTTAATACGAATTAAACTTGTTTTAAAAGACTCCAAAACTTGTTATAACAAATTGAATTCGTTTAAACAAATTCATTTATCTTTTTATAACTTATCAAAATCTTTAAAACGAATTCGACAAATCGTTATATCGAATTCATATATATTTTTTCTATAGGCCCTGATTATTGAAATTGATTAAACAAATTAAATTCATTATCACAAACTTTGAAATTTGTTATAACAATTTTTTTAATTCGTTTTAACGAATTTAATTCGTTAAAACAAATTAAAGAATTCGTTATAATGAATTCAACAAATTTGTTATAACAGATTAAAATCGTTATAACAAATTCAAAGAAATCATTATAATGAATTAAATTCGTTATAACAAATTTGAAAAACCGTTATATCAAATTTCAAAATATTTTTATTGGTCCTAAATGGGCTTCCATAATATTTTTAATTTGCAATATCCATTATTATTTTATATTTAAACTTTATATTTTCTCATGTCGAAAAATCCAAATATGGACATTCGTTGACCTTTTCAAATAGATGAGTTGTTAAAAAAAATTCAAAGGAAAGCTGTTAATTTTAGTGTAATTTGAAAGAAGACCAAACATTGCATCAAAGAGGAAAAAGAGTATTTTTGATAGTATCATTGCCTATAGCTAAATACAGAGAGTCTGCTAATAGTTATTCAAAATTGGATCAACATGGATCAACGGAAATTTAAATGGTGACAATTGGTGGCTAGGTGGAGTGAACATTCCTCGATCACCCATCAAACCCGCCGCATGCATCATTTAAACATTTCTGACATGACATTAGTTTGTTTAAGTTTGGCAAATCCTATTTGACAATGAAAGAGGAAGAAAATTTTTATCCCCCCCCAAAAAAAAGAACATTACGTTAAATAAAAAAGAAATAATAATAATAAATGAAAAGCAAAAATATAAATAATACTCTATACCTTTCAATAATTCTGAAAGAGGCTCTAGATAAAATAATGAAATGAAGGTAAGCCTTCACACAAGTAATATCATATCATCTTTTTCTTCGCTATGATCAAAGCATACTTTAAATGTTGGTGGAGGTATACTTGAAAGTATTGTGGCAAAGTAACAGTTAAAAATTAGTAGAATAGTAGATTATTTTTAGCTTATTTCTAATTCCTTCTTATAAAAAAAATAAAAGTAGGGTGGTTTTTTTTTTTTTTGCTTTTGTTCAATATCGACTTCCTCCTAAATAAGAAAGGGGGTGGGGTAAGTATAAGACCTAAAAATATGCTCGGTAAAGCTATGGGCTAGTGTAAAATACACAGTCATTCTAATGCAAAAACTATACAGTCATGTAAAAATAAACTTTTGATTTAGCACACAGTATTCATTACATTTTTTTAACGTAGAACCTACTTCGTATGACATCATAACTTGTAAATGTGTTAAACCTGTGCTAACCCATTAAGACGTCATAATTAATTCAATGCCACTTTTTCCCCTACTTGACAGCTTTAATAAAAATGGTAGAAAATACTGCATTTTGAAATCCACAGAATTCAATCATATCAACATAATCTTGATTCAATTCATATATTTTTTGGTTTATAATGCTTAATGGCAATATATTTCTAGAATAAGAGAAAATATGTAGGCACCATTTATTTACTAGATCTAGACCTGAAGTTGACAAACCCAAGACTATCTAATGTAATGAAATTACAAGGTACATACAACTTTCGTAATAATTTGAATGGTATGTAACCATTTTGAAGTAAGGCATAAATCGTGAGAAATCTTTAGTTGCCAGCTATATAGTGTAATATCTTGAGGAAATGTGTCTAAGTTAAAGATGTACGTGTTGTAGATCGTTTGACCGTATGTACATTTTTCATGTTTTTGCGATATCTATAATGAAATGATGTGCATTCCATTTAACAATTATTTGTTACCTATTTATATTTTTGGTGTTTGATTACAATTTTCATATTAAATATGATCTTTTTAAAGAAAAATTACAATTTTTGATAAATATTTAATCTGAAAGTAACCCCAAACAGTCATTTAATTATTAAATCCCGTGTAAGTGCAAAAAGGTCAAGAATATGAGTATCGGTAAATAGCCTATCTTTCATTAGTTAGAGGGGAAAGGTATATACTGGTATTTTAATCATTTTTTTTGTAATCATTTGGCTATGTTCTTCATCATATTGAAGATTGAAAACATTGTGACAAAGACGTCTAAAAATATTTACAAATATAGGGTGAATAATTGACTAAAAATAATAGAGTTCATTTGACCATTTTTTTAATGGTGGACTTATCTTTTATGCTAATTGAATAAAAAAGAAAAAAATTCTTGGTAAAATATTAATATTATTCAGTTAAAAAAGTTGATATACGACGATGTTTGAAGAAGTATTTTTGTGATTTTACATATTCCCTTTGTGACAAAAACCCAAAAAATATTTGAAAATGTGAAGTCGCAGTATGTAAATACCATACCAAGTTTCACAGCCTGTTCTAGATTAAAATACAAGGAAACATATCATGATATCTTCACTGATTAATAAGCAAGTACTAAATTATCATTTTGAAAAGTTTGAAATCTTGTGACAAAGACTTTTCCGACATAGGTCTTGTTTTACTCCACCCATTTACTCAGTTCTGAGTATATTTTTCAGAGAATTTAATATGAAAATCAGAACAAACATTTTCATTGCTGTAACATCTTCTTTATAATGTATATCAATATGAAAAGTTAATTGAAGACCATTTCTTTTTATGTCCCCGTAATCGAAGATTCGGGGTATATAGTTTTATCGTGTTCGTCTGTATGTCCGTCTGTCCGTCTGTCTATCTGGCGGTTTGTTTGTCCGCAAAAACCTTAACCTTTACCATAACTTTTCATTTATTGGAGCTATGGCTTTCATATTTAATATGTATATTCCTTGTGACAAGACCTTACTTTGGGTACCACCAAATTTGACCTTTTGACCTTTACCTTGGAGTTTATCCCATTTTACACAAAAATGCCAAATTTTTACTTTGGCCATAACTTTTAAACGGTGGATACTAGTACTCTCATACTTCAAATATGTAGTTTTTTGGCATTACCTTTCATTGGATACTAAAAACCTTGACCTTTTGACCTTGACCTTGGAGTTTTCCATACTTATGATTTTTTTTTACCTTGGCCATAACTTTTGAACGATAACGGCTAGGGTATTTATACTTCACATATGTTATCCTTGTTACATTAAACATTTTTTTTAAGAAATCATCAACTTTGACCTTTGAGTTTGACCTACTTTTCAAAAACTTATCCTTAGCCATTACTTTTGAACAAGTGGTGCTAGGGCTTTTCTATTTTGCAGTTGTATTTCTTGTGAGAAGACCCTACCTTGGGTAACAATATATTTAAATTGCATTTAAGAAAAGTTTAATCTTCGCTATGTTGCCATACAGGGGCATAGCTGTTTCACAAACACATCTTTTTATATATGAGGATTTGTGGATTAGAGATGGATACCTCAAAGTGTAACAGACGGACGTACGGACATCCCAATCACTATATACCCTCCCGCTTTTGAAGCGGAGGATATAATAATATATAATACTGCTGATTTTTTCTGTCAGTTCGATGATTTCCACCATCAAAAAACAATGTTTACCTAACCCTAAAGGCTTGATAAATCTTTTGCTCCTTTAGATTCTGAATCATTGCATTTACCTTAAAATATAGCTATAATTGTATAATGTTATGAGATCAACATATCATCAGTTTATTCCCAATAAGCTCAGGTGAGCATTTTGGCCAATATGCTTCTTTATCCAATTTTTTTTTGCCCCCTAAAAATTTTAGCTTTAATCTACAGGGGGTCATTTTTCTACGGGGGTCATTTTTCTTCACGTGGGTTCTGCAAATTTTTAGGGAAGTGACACTTTTTCTACGAGCAAAAGGGTCATTTTTCTACGTCGAATAATGACCGGGGTCATTTATCGCTGTCGAAAAATAACCCCCGGTCATTTTTCGATGACGGTCATTATTCGTCTTTACACCGGGCTCATTTACATAGTAGAATGAATTTCTTACATGAATCAGGTTTATATTCTGATGAAAAAAATATTTTTAACTATAAATATAAATGAGAAGACACCGACAGTGAGTTTTTAAATCCTAATACCACGGTCTGATTTTGTCAGAATTAGAATTAATCTGGTACTGCAGGTGTATGTAAACAAACAGACCGGTCTGGTTCCCTCTGCTACAGAACTACGATAACACTCATTATCAAAAATCCATACGCTAATGAACTATATATGTTCTTTGACTTAGGAATGAAGTTTTTTTCAAAGTCATTACTACTCATGTTTATTTATAAAGATAAAATTTCGCTTCATTTTTGTTGCTTTATTTAGCGTTTGTATTATCTCAAAAGCGGTTGAGAGTAAGAACTATATTTTTGCAATGGCGACTATGTGGTTATCATCCTGTCCTGAACAAATGACATAAGCCTGCAATTGCTCTCTGAGCAATAAGCCCTGCTAAAAATTAAATGGACTAGTGTACATTTAGCATCTGCTTAATTTTCTGTCGATATTTTTCATATCGGCAATTTCCATTCCATTCTTAATTCATCATTCATTCACTAGATTGTCTACATGATAATTTGTTGCACTGATTTAATCTCCGTGTATGATTTAATGAAGAAAAAAATTGTCCCCACTCTTCTTTTCAATTTTTTTCAAACACCTTCTCCAGTGTAGCCAAATCCCTAAATACTGAGTACTTTTCATTGAAGCCTGCATTCTTGAGAGAATTGATTCAGTGGTCATTTAAACTATTGTCTTTTGTTACAATATCGGACTGTTTTAGGTAAATCAAAAGCAATGTTTTAAGTACGATATATGCCTCATACAATTCTTTATTAAACATATCAGTTTGAGGCCCGTTTAGCCCTAAAGGGCCTCAAACTCTCTGATATTTTTTTTTTATACAAAATTGTATTCGGCATATATTTTAAAAAAAATATAGATCAGATAGACTGAAGATTTTGAAGTTGAGGTAATGCTATAATTAGATAATGGCTAAAATGTGTTTTCATTATATTTTATTTGTCATGACTTCAAACAAATGCGTCTTATATATTTGGCCAGGATATCCACTTGATTTTTATAATTACAGAAGCACAACACAGAAATCAGGCACAAACTGTCTACGAGAATTTCTTAGTTTAGCCTAAAGCTTGATATTTTTTTAAACTTGTGAATTTTTATATTTATATTCAAAAAGATGACCATGGCAAATATAGCTAGAGAACATATTGTTTACCATAGTCATGCGTGTGTGTGGTGTATCTGTACGCAATAACGGTGGGTTTTTGCCATGGACAGGCTACTTCTGCAAAGAAACCTATAAATACAAAATATAAAAGAAATAGAAATCAAATCTATAGTGACTGCTCTCCTTTGAATGTATATGCCAAAATTAATGATAAATATATAAAATCATACCGTCAATACTCTTTGCAGGAATATACCCTTCACTGATATGAGAATAAGTTTGAAACTGAAGACCTTTTGCACTGCAATGATAAATAAATGAAAGTCAGGACTGTTTAAATCTATGTAGTGAAATTTCAATATTATAAGTTTATTGAACTTTTATTGGTGAATATTAGCACGAGTTGTCTGTACAAATGCATGAGCTTGCGAGTCTATTTGTACAGCCCACTCGTGTAACTGTCAACATGCCAATATAAGCTTAATAACTCTTTCATTTCGGAGCAAACGGATCCCCCATTGATTTTTATACTGAAAAGAAAAAGAAACGCAGAGCAGCATAATATTCTAAAAACTTCTGACTGTATGACGTAAAATTACGAAAATTAGACAGATGAGAAATTTTGTTACTTTGTACTAAAATCAGTGTTCAGAATTACCCGACCGTGAAATTGATGACGTCACATAGAGAAAACGCTAAAAAGACCAAAACACGTGAAATTTGATGTCGACAAGTTTCTCACCAAATCTTGTTACACAAATTGATGTAACCGAGGTGTACACATGGTTCTTCAATATTTGATACCCATTCTCTGTAACCACTTAAACTTTTGTGGCACGCATAGTCACAGATTTTTTTCAAATTTTGCTGGAAAGTACCACCTCATAAACTACTTCAAAAAATATAGTTTGATCATATGAATGTTGAGTAGTTACCATGGAAACGGTGTCTAAAGCTGATTTTTTGTGAAAAAATGCAATATTTGGGAAAGTTTTTTAAAGAAATGCAGCTACTTCAATTCATGTTACTCACAGAAATAAGAAATTTAACATCTAACTTTAAAAGGCATGCTAAAACCTTGTTGGTATTCTCTCTATAAATATGAGAATTCTTTGATTAAAATAGCAGACAATAACTTTGAAATTGAATTATCTCCCTTTGATTATTGTGAGCTCTTCAGTGAGAAAGATGAAAAAATCATTATACAAAAATGACTGGAAGTTGTTTACATATTGTCAGCATACAGCTCTGTATATCCAGGAATTCAAGTAAAATCAACTGTTTTTCCTGTTTATTTAATTTGCATACAAATTTTAGCCTCTGTTTATATCCTACATGCAAAAAAATAATTTTGATGTGTGAAAAATGGTGAAATGTACAAGCTAGACAACATACACTGTAGTTCAGGAAATCAGCTCTGTACATAAGCATTAGTCTCAAGGTCTAAGGAGTTTCAAAACGGGATTCAAGATAATCTTGAAATATCAGAATTACTTGTATTATGAATTTGTTTTTTTTGTTAAGAATTACTGTGTCTTACGATCAGTCAGAGTGATATACTGGAGGGCTGCAATGAATACGGCGTTAGAAAGCAAATGAATTTTTAAACTGAATGTTATTATAGAGACTAATAATTTTTTAAAAAAAAACTGAATATGTCCTTGACTGAAAGGAAAAAAAATTATACTGAATAATAGCTACAATTCCCATCCACAGGTCGTTATTTCAAATTCAGCAATATTTTTTGAAACCCATGGTATAATACATATTATATATGGGTTAGAAAATTGTTACCTATACAAGCCCCCCCCCCCTTCCTAAATGAAAAAGAGTTTGGGCATTTTATATACTGTTATTGGGTTTTTTTCTTTGCTCTTAAGACTTTTTTCTGTGAAGAAGAAAATTAATAATTTTCCTTAAAAAACATCTTGGGAATAAATATGTCCTGCCATGAAAATAAACCTAACTTAATCTCCCCATTCTGGATCAAAGGTCGTCCCTTAACCCATAGTAAACGCAGTCATATTATGTAGTTTTTAAACAGGATAAACAGTATTAAATGATTTGTTAACCAGTCAAAAATATACTTTTGCTGATTGGGGTAGTTGCATAGAAATACAAATTGTCTAAATCTAAAGTTAATTGTTTATCATTTCTCTGGACTAAGATACATTATGATTTAAACTTAAAGCAGTACAATATTAAATCTGTCTAGCAGTATTTTATTAATAATGAAAATAATTTTCTGACCCCCCCCCCAAAAAAAAAAACAATTAAAGCACAATAGCAGATTATTCGAACAGGTCCAGCAGATGTTAACAACAGATTATTATTGTTTAAACTTTGGGAATATCAGATCTTTTGCGTAGATCAAGGCATATTTGTGTTGAAATATTTACCATCAACATCGCTAAAATCTCATTTTTTAAGAATGATATTTCAAAGTAAATTAGATTTTTCCGTCAACTTCTCTGAAAAAAAGTCACTGGAAAACACATTTTGACTGTCACTTGAAAAGTTCGGATTGTTATATATGGTTTTAAAAATGTACATTTAGGAGCAAGGGATTAGTTTACTAAAACAGCAGAAGAGTGTCTGTACATGGCTACATGCTTGTAGCGCAATTCTCTACATACAAGAAGTCTTGCACTCAATATGGAAAGTCAGTCGTCCAATTTTCTTAAATGCCTACCTTTATATCAATAAAACCTGAAAACTGTACTTATATAAGCATTTTCACATTATGCATCAAGCTAAAGGGAGAATGTAAAAAAAGTTTTCAATAAAATACATTCAATGTACGAGATCGAGGTCAGGATACAACATTTACAATACCAGTATTCCGAATAACTGAGTATAAATGCATTATTCACAAGATAATTCAAAGATTATGTGTCCCCTGCTTAAGGAGATAAGAATTTCTGTTGATTAAGAGGGGGGTGTCGGAGGGTGGTTGGGTAGGGGATGGGACACTTAAAGTGGGGCGGGCGGGACCATAAAGCGTTATGAACAAAAAAATATGCTAACCTAAACGCTTTTTGAAATGAGAGGTTTACATACAAACAATGTCTTTTTCTACCTTTACCCTTTGACCTAGAAATAAATAGGGGTCATTTTAAGCCAAAGCAAGTTGTGATATAAACTCAAATTGAAAAAGATCATAGGCTTCTTAAGATATCCAATGATAATAAAATGTTAAAACAGACAGGGGGGGGGATTTTTATAGACAAAAAACCGAAAATAAATGCCTATTTCCTCCCAATTTCAGAGTGATTAACAGCTAAAACTATGTATTTTATTAATATATATACTAGTACTTATTTGTGTAAAACATGAGAAAATATTTGCGTAACATTTAATTACATCCAAGATTTTTTTTCAAAATATGGTGATGCTTGAAAGTCCGATTTCAATGGAAAGTATCATCGACCCCCCCCCCCCCCCCCCCCCTTATGTCAAGAGTTAAGGAATGAGGGATAATGTACTATTTAGCACTGGTATTAAAATAATGAGTCAAATACCATTTAACTGTTTTTCATATTTAATAAAGATTTTATGGCTAAATTGCCATTAATATTGAATAAAATGGTAGCAAAATGTAGGCGGGAATTGAGAGTTAGCGTGCATAGTTCTTTATATACCACTGTGACCTTGACCTTTGACCTTCTGTCCATATGGGTACACATTCATATGATGCTAGTTATTGTTGACCAGACTGTAACTTTGTTTCTTCATTTGTTGTTTAAAACACAAATATTAGTTATGACACAGAAAAAATGTTGTTTAGTTTTCTTAAATATCTATCAAAACCGGCCATTTTGACCTTGACCATTGACCCTAAGTCATGAAAATTGATTTTTTTCGCTTTGTTTTTGATATTGTTTACCATATATCTAAATTTGATTTAATCCATTTTATAAAATACTCAGGCAACTACATGGAACCTGATTGTATCTACGTATTGTACTTTTCTAGGATTTTGAAAAAAAGCATAAGTTTGTAACCATGGTAACAAGAAAACTTAATATGAATACCAAGTAGTTCTTTGTAGTGTATATTAGAACTATATGTGGACTTTCAAGCCAATGTATTCATTTTTTCCAAACTATCCGCAAAAATTAATACCAGGTTTTTCAAAAGAGCCTAAAATCTACAATTTTCAACAAGAAAAATCCTACCTATAAATGAGGGATATTTTTTCTATGAGGAAAAAGTTACTGAAATACTAAAAATTTTCTAAAGCACTGTAAAATGATGTATCTTGGCAAAAAGGTAAAGTCATGTTGATAGCTTGTTCCATTAAAGACTTTTAATGAGTCAAAAAGGGTAATTTTTCATAAAAATTTAGCGATTTTTAGGCCATGAAAAGTGTATGTTGGTTGCCATGGTAACCATGGGCCATAGCAACCATTTTATTATGAATTTTAGGTACATACATCAATATAGGAATGTATGCCAAGTTTCATAAAAATCCAAGACCATGCGTGCCACACTCCCTATATAAGAGTTTAAATGCTTACAGAGAATGGCTATTAAAAACGATTTAAATTTTTGGCAATCTTGGTACAGTTTACGGAAGTTTAATGAGGTCTGATTTTCGAAATGCCTAATTAATAAAAAACGCAAAAAGGGGTAACTACGCAGTCTCTTGTAAATTTTCCCAATAAAACTTGTTACCCTTTGTCAGAGAGGGCCTGGAATGGTTTTCAATCAACCATGACAATGACGGTAACGCTAAACAGAATTATCTGATTAGCGGGTTATTCGTCATGCCATCTCTTAAATCGATATCTCACTACCATCAAAACCACCTTTCATACAGTAGACTATCATGATCTTTACATTCACACGAAAAATGAAGGAAACAATTCCGCATTTGTTGTTTACGGTCAACTTACTGTAACAGTTGTGTTCCTCTCACAATCATGTGATTGTACTTTTATATTTTGTCTTTGTATTTAAATGCTAACTTTTATACTCATGTATGATTCTATATTTGTTGTAATGCAGCACCCAAATGAAACTAGTTTATGCTAATTGTGTTGAAATCAATCTGAGGTCTTACAAATACAAAGTCAGGTAGGATAAGGCTGTCAGTAAAATATCAAACAGATCAAGCTATACTTAATTCTCTAAGCTACCTAGATATGACGTCATAATAGAATATGACTTCAGGTCACTGCATACTTGAGCTGATATGAAGGGGGAAGCGTCAAATCTTTTACCATTCTTTCACATAGCATAAAGAATTTTTGGCTTGTTATTTAATTGAGGTGTTGTGACTTTTTTTAAAGCTCAAATGTCCTGTTAT